CCTATCAAACTATGTAGTTTAACTATAACCGTCTGCTAGCAGTTTCTCTTCTCTATGTAATTTTTTTTGTTAAAATCTCATAGCATTGTTTATTTTTAACATATAGTAGTTGTAATACGCATTCAGTTAAAAAAAAAGAAACAGCGGTTTATACTCGGGCATGTATACATGAAAGGCATGCAGGTTAGTATCGTTAGATATCTGAAGGCGATTAACCAGATGTAAGTAATTATCAATAAACAGGACAGATCCAAATATATGTTTTTTATTTATGTATTATTAATATATATACGTACATTTTACCGCTTACGACGATCTTGTAAACAATATTTTAATTTAGTGAAGTTATTCAATTTTTTTGCTGGAAAATAAACTCTTCGCATGCTAATTTCCAATTCTCTAAAAATCGAAGTATCAAGTGCAATTCTCTTATCGGGTGTCATTCCTTCAAGTTTTCTTTATGGACCCATGGGATTGCATCTTTCAATTAGGTGGGACACATCGAGTACCTTTCTCTACATGCAGGACACATACGCGGGCTTTGGCCAAAAATTAAGCGTCCTACGAGTCACGTCATTTGAGGTACTATCATTCCACGTTACAAAGTTGTTACATGTGTGTAATAATAGTAAAATTTACATGAAATCGGCCAACTATTAGATTTAGGAGCACATTTGTTCAAGCATCAACATTTGGCTTCAAGCTAGTGCTACGAGCGGGACTCGAACCCACACTAAATACGCCGCTGCTCTACCACTTGAGCTTGAGGATTCGGAATCCCGTTCGTAGCACTTGCTTTTTCATTTCAACCAAAACCTTACATAAAAGGATTAATTAATTGAAAGAAGTAATTTGGTCAATAGGCCTCTAAATGTAATGGATTTAGTAAAACGTTCCTTTGTATGATTCCCTTTTCGAGTTCTGCTGTTTGTTGAACTTGTTTGTATCCGCCCATCCTCGCTAATTTGGTCTTCCAACAGATGGGGAGAAAATTTGAATCTGTACGCCTGAGAAAAAACTTAAAATTTTTTAAATTTAATATCTTTAGCAAAAAATATAGTTGAAAAACAAGAATGTCTACGGACACCACTCTACCAATTTCAACAACTTGTATTCATCCGTTTTGTAGGCCAGCTGGCAATCCATTCCGTAGCTTTCGTAATTAAATGTATACAATAAATAAAAATACAAAACGGCACGTCCCATTGGGAGAAAAAAACCTTGAAATTTTCTATCTAAAAGAAATGGGTACAGATTCAAAAGTCAGACGTGATACGTCGATGGTACAGATTTATAGCAGCTACGTGACTCGATTTTGCATATTTCTCTCTTTCCCTTCGCTGCATTCCGACCGGCGTGCCGCAAAGTCAAATATGAATCTTCAATTCATTTTTGTTTTTTAACAAATCGTGTCGGCTCGGTCTAATTTATTAAAGCTGAATGTGGTGGCAGTTCGAGAGGTTAGAGGTCAAAAGTCAAAAGCTCTTCCATTACCTCTTCATTATTCACAACCTGGCATTTTTCTTTTATTGTGTCTAAATCACTTAAACTGTTAGCATGTCATCTATCTTCCGTGGTTCATTAGTTATAGTTGGGTTCTTTTAAATATCTTATAAATCCGCTGTCATCAAAATCCAAAAACATTACCTTTATCCCAGCTCAGGGAAAACACAAATATTCCTACGTTGAAATCAACCAATTAACAATTAATTAATTAAAAACTAACAATTATATAAATCAAACGCCGGGAATCAGACTTTTATTATCTTCAGTTTAACGATGAGTGCAACACAGGAGAAAGGGAAGATGAGAACTTGCACGACCTAATGGCCAAGTTTGGTAGCGTGGTCGGCTCCAACATCATATTCTCTACACTCTCATGATTAGTTGTTAATCTTACAAAACCCTGTTGGCTCATCACGACCGTTTATATGGTACTACATTTACAATTTTTAATGGATTAATCGAGGATCTACATAGATAATTCGTATATCCGTCTTGGCACGTGAACTTTTACTAATATGGGGTTATGATATCGCGTTTTGGGTATGATTTCATTATGCAACAATACGATGCAATCGTATCCAGCCTAGAAAAAATCGAGGTAGTAGTGTATTGCAAATTTTCAAAAAAATTTCCAGTTCAGATGAGAAACCTTCATCACAGAAAAAGAAAGTATTGTGCTTTTAAATATATCAATCTCACAATAGTTTTTTGTTTAAAAAAACACCGTTTTTGATAATTATAGAATGAAATAATAGATTTTAAAAGAACAAATGCATTTTCATTTAATTAATGCATAGATTATTGGAAAAATGAAAGGATGTTGGTATTAGTAAATGGGTTGATTAAAAAATATATCAAATGATTAGATAGGTACAAGGATAGTTATAAAGAATTTTTATTAATAGATAAATTGATAAGTGATTTATAGTTGAATTGTAGGTTCTTCAGAAAAAGATTAATTAATGGGTAAAAAAATAGATACAAAATATGACTGTACTGATTCCTTGATAATTAATAAGATTTACAGATTGATGATTTAATGATTTTATAAAATGCTTATACGATTAACGACTCTATTGAAAGATAAATGATGAATGACTTAAATTTTAACATGATGTTGATGATTAATAAATTATTAATGGATTAATGGATTGTACTACAGATGATCTGGTTAATTATTCTATTATCGGAAAAATAAATAAAGTAATGGACTATATAATAACAGAAATAACATATAGATGGATAATCAATGAACTCGTGGATATAAGAATAAAAAAGACATATAGATCTATGACAAAATGTATAAACTGATTAATTCCCTAATTTTCATGGTCCGCTTGACCAATTAATATCTTGAATCTTTTATTATTTTTAATATTTTGAAAAATGGCAAAAAGGAGGGAAAATTCAAAAGGTGGGGTTGAGATGTGAAGTTAGTGTCCGAGTGGATCGAGGTCATGATAGCTCAAGTGGTAGAGTAGCGGCGTATCTAGCCGAAGGTCGTGGGTTCGAATCCCGTTCGTGACACTGTCTTTTTTATCTCAACTAAAAACCTTAATTAACTGAAACTGATTAATGTATAATATGTGTATGTTTATTGTGTATTTGAGCTTATATAAATCAGCAATCAGTAATCAGCAATAAATAAGTTCTGTTCTAAAAGAGGTCTTAACGTCGATTAATTAGTTGGTTGTCGCGGACGAGAGTTCAAATCAGTTAACAATACATGCAATTCTCATTAAAACACCCATGGTCTACGCTTTGTAATGTTTCTCTAAATTTCTACGTATTGTTTACTTACATGAAGACTAAAGTTTCTTCCAATTTTTCTAGTTTGTTATGATCGGCGTTCAGCGTTTTGTCAATGTTTTCTCAGCGCTGGTCAGTTTGGAAAAATCGCTTCATGAATTTCTTTTAATATTGCATAACGATCTTCACTTCAACAGTTAATCTATTTCTACTTTTTCTTTATTTTTAAGGTCTTGTACAATTTAGGTAAGAACTTATAGAAATGCATTTCATTTATTAGTACCCCCCTTCAAAATCCAACGTATATAAACACAAAATAGCAAAATCTCACTGGCACTCTCGACACGACACGCAAGAATGGCACAATTACACAGAAGACAAACACTTTGAGTGAGTAGAAATACTTTGATTGGATATATAAAAAAATATATTTTGCATTGTATAAATTGACTTTTCCACATCCAAAATGTAATTGTTATATGTAAACAATGTTTGTAAATCCCAGGCCCTGAAGATGATCTCAATAAAGATCGAAACGT